CTGTGTTCATAAAAGATATTGGTCTAGAGGTGCCTGTGGCTCAGTCGGTTGAGCATTTGACACTTGGTTTCATGATCTTGGGGTGGTGGGATTAAGCCCTGAGTTGGGCTCTGTGCTCAGCGCAGAGTCTGCTGGAGATAATCTCCCTTCCTCTCTGCTCCTCACCCTTCTTGAGTGCATGAATGCTCACTCTCTCACTCTTTCTCTCTAACAAATAAATGAAATCTTTAAAAAAATCTCAGTCTGGAGTTTATTTCTGATCTTTTTCTCTGGTTTGTATTTTGTCTACTGCTGGGCTTACACAATGAGCTCTTTTTTCATCTATCTTTGAACAATTTCTATAGAATTGGTTTCATTCTTTCTTAAATGTGATATAATTCACTAGTGAAGCCATCTGAGCCTGAGTTGTTTTCTATTGTTTTTTTTTTTTTTAGTGGCAAGATTTTTAATTACAAGTTCAATTTTTGTAATAGATAAAAGACTATTTGATTTTCTGCTTCTTCTTGAGTCAGTTTTTGTAATTTATGTCTTTTAAAGAATCTGCTTATTTTAGCTTAAAATTTTAATTTATCAACATAAAATTGTAATAAATATACCCTTAGTATTTTTTTTAATATTGATAACATCCGTAGTACAGCCTCCTCCCTCATGCCTAAAGTTGGTCATTTGTGACTTATTTTTTCTTCTCAGTCTAGTTAATAGTTTAGTAATTTTATTGTTTATATGTCAAAAGACATCTTTTATTGATTGTTTTCTTTATTTTCTTTTTCATTGATTTATTTCTAAACCTTTATTTAGTAACTTATTTTTTGTTCTACTTTAGATTTGCTTCTTTTTTATTTATTTTTATTTTTTTATTTTTTTATTTTTTGGATTTGCTTCTTTTATAGCTTCTTGAGGTGAAAGCTTGAAATTATTGAGTTTACCTCTTTTTAGCACAGACATTTAAATCCATTAATTTCTTTCTAAGCACTTATTTAAGCTGTGTCCCATAGACTTAGATGTTTTTACTTTCATTCAGAACTTTAAAAAAAGTTTCTTTTAATCATGCATTTATGGTTAATAATTTTAATGTATCTGATTCTTTTTCTGATTGTTTTTATTTCTTTCTTTTGAGATAAATAGCATGTATATTAGTATTAATTTTTTTCACGTGTGGATTTGAAACTCATTTATTGTTCTAAAGCAAGAATAGAATCATTTTCTCATTTGTTGCCAGTAGAACACCAAATTGCAAGTAAAAATCTTGAGATGATTAAAGTACATTTTAAGTAGTATTTCAAATATGATGTGTGTATGTGTTTATTTTTTTATTCATGGTAAATAATAAAGTCTTTAAATGTTTGAGGCTCTCTTAGATTCTAGCCTAGGGCCAGCAAAGAGATCTGATATCCTACTGATAGATTTGCATAACTGATCATAGCCCTGCTTCTGCCAAGGCAGACGCATAATTGGAATCTTTCTCATTAATTCTATTCCCAAGTTACTTAATGAACCCATTTTGCTAGTAAAAAGCCTGTATACGTCAGAAAAAATATTGAGTCAGAATGTATGTGTTATTTAAGCTAATTGAACATTTTCATTTTCATCTTCTTTCAGAATTATTCTCCAATACTGCTATGAAAACATAAATATAGATCTTTTAAATTTTAAAAATATAGAATACCTGATAATTATATTCATTAGACTCACAGCTTCAGTACATGTGCAGAAATGATCATTTAAAAAAATTAGTATTTTGAAAATGCATTGCTTCTCAAAAACAGCATTTACAATTAACATATTAAATATTAGGATTAATGTTCTATTTTACACTCCTTATAATTTCCTCCTAGCCACTTAAATCATATGCAATTAATTTAGAATTAGGTCCACTTCAGACTTTCTTGATTTTCTTATGAACTGAAGAGAATTATTTACTTAGGGAAATTAACAGTGTAAATAGGAGTCTTGTTAGTTGGTTCATCTAAGGAGCCAAATTGTTTTTAAGAACATTTGCATATATAAAATTAATGTATAGATGAGCCTCTTCTAACATTAAAGTGTAGTCTTTACTTTGAAAACATTTTATAGACAATCAATTTATATTCTTACATACTTTGACACCAAATTTTGGACACCAAAAGTAAATTGCTTTTACTTTTAAATACTAGCCAACGTAGGACTTTCACAAATTCATAGTTTACCTAATTCTCTCCTTTGTTATCTGTAAGCTTTTTGTGTAGATTATCAAATATATTCACAAATTGAACATGCCCTTCTTAAACGTTTAAGGTGACTTTTGTAAAGGTTTGTCTTTTCTCACTGGCGATCTTAATGCCAAAGTAAGCAGGTGTTGCATAATACTGAGCTCAGCTATCATGGATCAAGGAGGATTGGGGGGGAGGGAGAATCAGTAAGGTACTTTCCTTTGGGAATACCCCATGATCTAGTGCCAAGTTCATTGCAATTCATAGCGTAGGACAATAACCAATTGTCTTGGTTTCTATAATATTTCACAGGCAGTTTCTAAATTTTTTTTTTTATTTCCTAGGGGAGATGGACTCTTCTCTGTCATTTCTGCTATGATCTATTACTTAGAGTTTAGTTGTGGATTTCTTTTGTTCAGAGGGATTTATAAGTCAAGTGTAAACATTTGCTAATTAAAATTATTGACATACTTTTTCTATTCCACGTGGTTTTAGTGAGTCTAGAAAATGGTCTTTTTATCTAGAGCTTACTGTGAAAACATGTCTCTTATGACTTTAAAATGTAATCTTGGTAATCACCCTTGAAGGAGAAAATGTTTTTGTATCACAATAAAAATTAATTTTTTTTTCAAATATGGTTTCATTTTTCTTTTATGCATATTACTGCTTTTTTAAATTTACCATCACAAAGAAAAGTTCCAGCCTTTGGAACTTATCTCACTAATTCAAGGTCAGCCAAATTAATAGCTGGATGAGACTAAGTGGAAATCAGGACAGAAATATTTTCAAAAATAAATGTCATTCTCCTCTCACACAGGCATTAAAGTGTTATCCAAACAAGGTGTAGAAAGCTGTTGTTTTGATGATGCCATTTGTATTAGGCAGCCAACAATTCGACTTTCCTTTATCACATTCTTTGTTCTCTCTTATGCTCCCAAAATCTAATATATTTAAATGAGAAAAATTGTTTTGTTCTGTTCATCCATATAGAACTACATTTAAGGGATAGAAAACTTTGATATGTTTAGGTATCTATAGATTGTGATATTTGAGGCTATTTTTCCTGTTGTTTATGGATTGAGAAGACTATTGTAGTTATGAATACTGTTTGTGTTATTTTGTTATTATTGCATCGTTACTACAGGGTAAAATATCCTTATGGAAGAACTCCAAGGGCCGCAGAGAAAGTACATCCAAGAGGGTAACATGTGGTTTTATCAAAAACAAGGGCAGCCTGTTACCCAACGACATGTGATGAGAAGCTTTCGGTGATTTATTCTTTAATATTAAAGGGCAGAGTCAATGTTAACTAATAGCAAGTCTCAGCCATGAATGAGAGGGACCTGGAGAAAGTAGTCACACTTACAGTGAGCAGAGGAAAACTTGTGAAAAACTTTAATTAGTATCTTTAGAAAGATGCATCTCTAAAACAAATGAGTAAATGGCAACATAAGAAAATTTGCTAGACCTAAAGACTGTGAGTGTCTAGATTGTGCCCCTGTACAAAGATTTACATGCCTCATCAAAGATTTACAAGGCCTATAATCATGAAATTTAGAAACCTGAAGAAGGTGCACCTGGGTCGCTCAGTCAGTTAAGCATCTGCCTTTGGGTCAGGTCAAGATCCCAGTGTCCTGGGATCGAGTCCAGCATCAGGCTCCCTGCTCAGCGGGGAGCCTGTGTCTCCCTCTCCCTCTGCCTGCCACTCCCCCTGCTTGTGCTCTCTCTTTGTCAAATAAACAAAATCTTTTTTTAAAAAATTAAAACATTGAGAATAAAATGAATATCCTAAAAGCTTTCAAAAAGAGAGTGGGGGCACACATAAAGAAGCTTGTATCAAAGTGAATCAGGATGTCTCATCCACAACCTTGCCAGCTTGAAAAAAAAAAATTCTGATGATAATATTTTTCACTGTCAGTGGTGTGTATTAAGACATGTTCAGATATGCTAAGACGATAACAACAAAATTTCCCTGGCATGCCTTTTGGTGAAGCTTCTGAAAGAATGCTCCCACAAAATTAAGGAGAATAGGGTAATCGAGATGTAAGAATACTTAGGATTCAGGAAAAAAGGAAATGTGGGGAAAAAGGCGACTGACTGAAGAGCAGCATTCAAGGGTGACATTATGACTGGTTCAACACACAAAAAAAGTAGGAGTGGCATTTCCAGAATTAAAAAATAGAATCAGTGAATTATGTATAGTCCATTGAGTGTTTAAAAAATAGTATTCATTTTTGATCAATCTGATGGAGCTTGTGGAAAACGTGAACACAGTTACCTAGACTATGAAGCAAGAATCTTTTAAAAGAGACTGGTATTAATTCTAGGAAAAATTAAACATTGTAGCAAAAGAAAACATGATAGTAGCATATACCAGTTGGCGCCACAGTGAACAGTATCTTTGTAGTTACACTAATGGAAATGTGATTGATTGATTTTAAACTCTGCAGTGATTACATTGAGAGGGGAGGGATAGGATAGTTTAATGGATTGAATCCTCACTTACCGTAGTAGAGAAGTTACTAAATACTGCCTAAAAATCAGTAAATCCAGAAATAGAATAAGCATCTGTTTTAAAATATAGGAAAAAAGAACATTAAAAAGAATTAAAAATGAATGTCCCTTGAGGATGACAGGGGCCACTGTTGCTCAGAAACTTAGTATTTAAGACTCTAAAACTCTTTGCAAATGCCCCTTTCCTAAAAAATAAAATTTAGTTTTAAGAGGAATAATGGCATTTAAAATGTCAAAGGAATAGAATAATTATGGATTGTATTCAGCTTTTTACATTTTTGTCATGTTATTTTCTAGAGTTCCCGGAATAACCCTTGCTACAGATATTATCTGTGGTTTTCCTGGAGAAACAGATCAAGATTTTCAAGAAACAGTGAAACTTGTGGAAGACTACAAATTTCCAAGCCTCTTTATTAACCAGTTTTATCCCAGACCAGGAACTCCTGCAGCAAAAATGGTACAAGTTCCAGCACAAGTGGTAAGATATTTCTCTCACAAAGTATTCAGTTTACCAGCCAGTATCTATAAAAATGCAGCTCTGTTTGTTGCCTGCTTTAACACAACTAGTTCGTAGTATAACTTCCAAATTAAAAAATATGGGGAGTTTTTCAAGATGGGGTCAGGGGTGGGGGAACCTTGGAGGATTTAAATGTAGGAAACTAAAATATCACTTTTTTTTTTCCTTTTGAAGAGTGAGGTTCAGATGACACTGGGAGGGGGGGGGAATAATAATCTGGTATTACCTGTGTTTATAAGAGAAATCTTTGGATATTTGAAAAGAAGACAACCTTTAAATATCTGTGAGCAAAAGAAGCTTCATGTTTACCCTGATTTTCATAATTTGATACTCACTGGGGGCCCTATGTTTTCCTTCCTTTTCCATGGAATAGATTTGATGCTTGCCATCTGTCTATTTCAGATTTGTGTTACTTTCACACAAATGAACCTCAACTTAATTTCATCCTTACAGGTTCAGAAATGTATTAAAATAAAAAAAAATTTTTAAAAAAGAGTTTTATTAATTTATTAGAGAGAAAGAACACAAGCAGGGGGAGCGGCAGAGGGAGAAGGAGAAGCAGACTCCCGCTAAGCAGGGAGCCCCATGTGAGGCTCCATCCCAGAACCCTGAGATCATGACCCACCCAAGGGCAGACACTTAGACCGACTGAGCCACCCAGGTACCCTATAATAAGATAATTTAAAATGAATGTAAAAAAGTTTGAGATCCAGTAAAGGTAACTTGTTTTACAGAATGCCTCAGCAATTAATGTTCTCAGAGTAATTTAGTTGCTAGATTCATTGGCTAAAGATGGAAAAATGTTAATAAGCTTTAAGAGGAAGTCATATGTTTTTAACTGAAAATTTTGTTTTGTTTCAAATAACTAAAGCATTATGCCCTATATTAATTTTCCTCAAAGCTTCCATGAATAAATACTAAAAGGAATAACTCAAGCTTGTTATTTTTTTTCCTATTATGCCATATGTGAATATCAAACATAAAACATACAGATTTTTTATTTCAACATTTGGTTGAAAAAAACAAATATATTTTTTATTTGTATATACAGAGATACACTTTAAAGTCTGTTTTCCCCATTAAAACTGAAGTGAATATCATTCTTTGTTTTTTCAAAATTTTCTACATTTTTATTTCACAAGTTTCTGTATATACAAAGGTAAGAAAATATTTTACAGGTAGACTATTTAATTTTATATCTAATTTAATCAATGAAAAGAAGACTATAACACCATGGACAGTTGACTTTTCACAAACATAAAAATAAGTTAATTCATTATTTTTATATCTAAATTGTAATAGCTTTTATTGCATATAGCAAAATTTACCTTCCTTGGTCTACAGTTCTTCAAATTTTGATGAATGCATACACTAGTGTAACTGCTACCACAGTCAAGGTACAGAGCAGTTCTAGCAGCTTCCCAAAATTTTCTTTTTACTTTTTTGTATTTCTTTACTCCCTCCATCTGCAGATCCTGAAAACTACTGATCTCTTGTTCTCATAGTTTCATCCATTTTTTTCTTAAACTTTACTTAAATAAAAACATTTTTTGAACTACAACATCCCTACAGAAAACATGCACAGCTATACATTTCTCTAAAGTGAATACTTGCATGTACCCTGAGTCAGATCAAGAAACAGAACATTACCAGACCCCAGAGCTTCCCATCCTGCCCTCCCCATCCAATTCTCTCCCATTCCCCCACAGAAATCACTATCTCTTATTTTAACACCATACATAACTTTGACCTATTCATAAACTTGATATAAATGGAAGAATTCATCAGAGTCTGAATGTTTGGCGTTTTTTAAAAACTGTGGTAATTCTTTTTATTGTTTATGTTTTTCGATAAAATTAATATTTTACATACAGTCCTGCTTTAAGTCTTAACTCTTCAGAGTTAACAAGCAGTGGATTTTTCTACTGAGTTTATAAAACATGTAACTTTGTCAAGAAATAATTTTTCATCTTTTTCTTCATTGTTTATTATTATACTGCTTTTGAAGATAATACAGCTGTCCTAAGATTTCACATCTGAAAAATCTGTACATCTCTCTGCCAGGAGTTGGACCTGTTGCTTATTGAGATTGTGGGTATTTATTTCAGGCATGGTTACAGTCCCTCTGACCTATCCTAAAATAGTCAGACACTGGCTGTCCTGGAGAACCAGCTGTGGCATGAGCACCTCTCTCCAGCCCCAAAGCTTTTTTTAAAAAAAAAAAAATTTTGGGAGATTAGTCTGTTTTTGCAAGTAGCTATAGTACATCCATTTTCATTGCTATGTAGTATTCTGTTGCATGCATATTTATCCATCCTTTTTTTTTTAATTTAAATTCAGTTTGCCAGCATATAGTATAATATCTCATCGACATTTATCCATCCTAATGTGAAAAGAGAATTGGGTATTTGCAACATTACAGTATTAGCTTAGCAACTGATACCACCATCAGCATTCTTGTTTATATGTTCTGTTTAACTCATCTACATACACATTTCCGCTGGGCATTTAGCTGTAATTTCTAGATCATAGGAAATACAGTGGATCTGCTTTCTATTGCCAAATAGTTTTCCCAAATAGTTGAGTAAATTTACATTTCCCCCAGCAATATATAAAAATACTAGCAGCTCCATATTCTTGCCAACACTTGGCATTGTTATATTTCTGTTATTAGCCATTCTGCTGGGAAGACATTATAATCTAATTGTGGTTTTATTGTTCTCTGGTAACTAATGACATTGAATACTTTTTATATGTTGATTGGGTATTTGGATATAATTTTTTAGGAAGTCTCTATTCAGACCTTCTGCCCACTTATCTTTTGGTTTGCTTATTTTCCTGTGTCCCAGCATCCCCACACCCTTTCCTCTGATTTATAGGAATTTTTTGTGTATTCAGAATTCAAGTCCCTTGTTAGTCATGGTAATTTAAATATCTTCTTCCATTCTGTAACCAATCTTTTTACTTTCTTACTGATCTCTTTCGAAGACCAGACAGTGTCAGTTTTAATGGTAGGATTTATCAGTACTTTTCATTTTATGTTGATGCTTTTGGATCCTGTTTCAGATTCCTTCCCCACACCGTCATGAATACACCCCTCAGTGTACTCATCTAGACATTTTATTATTTTGCCTTTTACCTTTAGATCTTTAATCCAAATGGAATGTATTTTTGTTGAGGTGTAGAGGTCAAGAGTTTTATTTTCTACAAGGATATCCACTTGAGTTAGTGCCGTTTATTGAATCTCATCCTTGCCCCATTCTCTACCTGGTCATCTTTTTCATAAATTGGTGTCTATCTCTACATGTGCATATATTCTGGAACTTTGTTGTTTTTTTTATCTATTTGTCCATCTTTCTACCAAATCACAACATTAATTACCATGGCTTTGTAATAAGTATTGACACTGCAGTATATGCCTTTCAACTCTGTTTTTTTCTTGAACATTGTCCTAAGTATTCTTGGCCCTTTGCCTTTCTAAATTTGTCAACATACGGCAAAACATTTTGCTGGCATTCTGATTGAGATTGTATTGATTCTGTAGCTCATTTGGAGGGAAATTGACGATGTAATAATACCTAGTTCTCCATCTTTGAATAAAATATATCTCTTCTTTATTTTAATCTAATTTCTCTCAGTAATGCTTTAAAGTTTTCTGTATACAAACCTTGCATATCATTTATTAGTTCTGTGTCTGCATGTGTGTCCCTGGGTACTGTTGAAATGACTGATTTTAATTTTTTATTGTTATTGCTATTTAAAATTTTGGTTGATTTTAATATATCTTTTTCCTGTCAACTTTGCTAAATTCACTTAGTAATTCTAATTATTGTTCTATAGATTTTTCTTTATTCTTTTTAAAATATTTTATTTATTTATTCATGAGAGACACAGAAAGAGAGGGGCAAAGACACAGGCAGGGGGAGAAGCAGGCTCCATGCAGGGAGGCCCGATGTGGGACTTGATCCCAGTACTCCAGGATTACACCCTGGGCGGAAGGCAGACACGCTTAACTGCTGAGCCACCCAGGCATCCTTCGACTTTTCTTTATAGAGTTTTCTATGTATACAATTATATCATCTGCCGATAGTTGCAGTTTTGTTTCTCCCTTTCTTGTCCTCATAACTTTTATTTCTTGTCCTATTGCACTGGCTGGGACTTACAGTATGCTGTTGAATAGAGTTGACCATTTATCTCTTTTTCCCAAACTCAAAGGAATAGTCTTCAGAATTTCTCCTTTCAGTATAAAAGTTGACTATAGTTTTGAGATTAGGGAAGTTCCTTTCTATTCCTAATTCACTCAGAGTTTGTATGTGGGCTTGTGTGTGTGAGCATGCCTGCATGTGTGTATGTGTCCGTGTGCATGGTCATGTTTGCCTGTGCATGTCTGTGTGTGTGTTTTACTCATGAATAGAATTGAACTTAATCACTTTCTCTTCATCTGCCAGAATTATCATATAGTTTGTTCTGCATTAAATCTGTTAATATTGTGAACTATGCTGAATGTTTTCAAATGTTTAAATCAACCTTGTGTTCCTGGGACAACTTCATTTGATCATAGTATATCATAATTTGATATACTATTTTAGTTAATTTGCTAAAATTTTGTGAAGAATCTTTGCATCTTTGTTCATATAGGATTTTGATCTGTAGTTTTCTTGTGATGTCTTCTTAATTTGGGTATGACAATTGGAAAGTATTTCTTTCTCTACATTTTTTGGAAGAGTTTGTAAGGAATTTGTATTATTTCTTCCTTAAATGTTTGACAGAATTGCCTTATGTGGTAAGCAGAATTGCAAAATGGCCCCACAAACTCCCTCAGCCCCTCAACTAAATAAGTCCTGGGACTGTTAATTTGATATATGCTCTGCCTTTTGGTTTCTTGGTTCTACTGAGTCATCTTTCCCTTTTCTCATGGAAGGTAGCACAATTTTCTCAAACCTTTGTGAGTCTTTCCTAGA